TCGCGACTTCTCTAGCCAAGTATTTCCTGGAGCTCTATGGTCATCTTTTCTTATAAAAGTAAGTAAAATGGGCGGGGTCCATTTTCTTGCTTTAACGTTTTATTTTTTTAAATGAAAGTACTGAGACAGAGAGAGAGGTTAGACAGAGTGTCTTTTGTCTTGCCCCGGTTAGGATTTCTTAAGCAAATCCACTGGGCTTTCAACATGAAGCCAAAAAATCAGGACTTTTTAAAAACGCCCCGGGACACGGGACAAATTGTTAGAAATTGTGACTGTCCCGCCAAAATCGGGACATCTGGTCACCTTATGTAAAATATTGTTTTCAGCCAGTTTATGACACAGCAGAAGTGTGGTGTCTCAGTAGCTTAAAAGATGCCAGAGAAGGTCTATGTACTTTGGCAGTTCAAGCTCTATCCCCCTGTAATGGAGTGAGTTCCACACACTTGGCTCAGCTCCTCCCAACCTAGCAGTTTGAAAGCATGTAGATAAGTAGATAGATAAAAATCGGTGGGAAGGTAACAATGCTCCATGTTTTACTACATGCTCCACACTGGCATGATGTCATGCTGATCACATGACCAGGAAATGTCTTTGGATAGTGCTGGCTCAATGGTCTAGAAACAGTGATGAGCACCGCCCTCTAAAGTTAGCTATGACTAGCAGGGTAAAACCTGCAAGGACTCCTTTACCTTTTACTCTTATGACCCAACCTGATGCTGATTCTGGCAAAAAGAGAATGAGCGGCCTAAGGTCATGCAACTGGTTTCTATATTTAAAGCAGGACTAGAATCTGGGACACTTTCTAGTGCAGCACCTTAATCATTATACTATGCTGGCTGTTTCTGCTTGCCAATATAAGTTTAATAAAATACTATGAAAGCTGCATATGATCCAAGGTGTTATAACAACAGGATCTTTTGCAGAAGAGTGCATAACTAGATCTTGTGGCTTTCTAGGGAGACTTTATTATCCATATGGATTTGACTGTTTTCTTGCAAACAATGGAAGCTCCCATAAAATGTTGTTCCATTTAGCTGACAATGTTTTATTGTAAGTGGCAACAGGTAGTTTGCAGCCTTTCCAGCTGTATGCAGTTTTTTTATTTGCCATTTCTAAAACTAGTACGAACTGAAACTGTGAGGCTGGGGAACAGATGTGCAACTTGATTCTATCTGATACTTGAAGCTGGGAATTCAGTTAGGGATGCCCTCAGGCATGCAGCCACCTCGGTGGGTACATAAATCCCAAATGGAGTGCAAGAAATCACACGTGTTAAGCATTTTCTTCAAATAGCTATACTGCTGGTTCAGGAATTTCTCCCAGAAGCATCAATATATCTACAGTGCTTTGCTGTATGAAATTTCTTTATGATACTACTGGTCATTGGGGTAAGAGCAATTTTCTCTTTCTGAAACTCCCAAATTCAAAGAAATGTGTAGCCATAGTAGCCATCAGGTCCTGAATTGGTGTAATGAGAATGATGTTGTTATTCCATTTTAATTATTTGCAATTTAAGAAGCACATTCTTGCCTAAGCTATGCTAAGTGCCTTTTAAAGAGACTTTGCAGTTGCTTATTTTGTCTCTTAATTGCTTTAGGAAGCTACTTATTACTGATTTCTTTGGATTGTAGAACCTTCCAAAAGACAATTTGTATTACACTGGAGAGTTTCTTTCCATCCTGGTTGAAAGAAGCTCTAAATAAATTTAAAGATGAACAAGTGAAGCTTTAATTTTTGGAAAACAGCAAAAATGGGACTAGAATGTTGATTTTGAAAAGTTAAACTAGATGGAATAAATAATCTTTGAATTTGTAAATTTTAATAAAAGTATTTTAAGAAAATGAAATTAAAAAAGCAAATGTAGCCTGTTCTCTGAATTAAGAGACATAGTAAACATTTCTAAATACCAAGAATATCTTTTTTTTCTCCAATTGTGAATTATATCAAGAATAAGAGCAAAGGTTGTTGTTGCAATAATTTTATTTGTTGGGTAAAGGAACATTGCATCTGCACCAACAGACTTCTAACATAAAGATAAATAATTAAAGGGATATAAGCTGATTTTTAAAAGTCCATGTAATTTAATAAAGGCCAATGCTAGATTAATAAATTAGCAGTTTGATCAGCCCTCTCGTATCTGCAGAAGAAAAATATTCAGGTTTGAATCCAGTCCAAATTGTAAAGCACTCCTTTTGGATTACAAATGTATATAAGCCCCCTCCCACATAACAAACAAACAGATAAATGTCCAAAAAAAGCCAACATTCTTCAGGCTGCAAAATGGAGAACTGCTTTATGCAAAGCAATAGAAAACTATCACTACCATCAAGTTGATGCCTTAAAGGGAAAAGGTATTATCTGCAATGGTCCCATTTCTTTGGATGGCTAACCATTTTTTTAAAGTTAGGGACTATACTTGATCTTTGAGCACCATAGTGATATCCTATAAAATAAGCAGAGCCACACATCATTCAACTATAATTATAATCAAATGTTATTAAAATGTTTAATATGATTATTCCACTTCTACTTTGTGAGTTTCTTTCTGAAAATATTTTAAAGTAATTTACCTCACCTGTAATCCATGACTGTTTTTCAGAGAATTCTTGAAACTTTATGCTACTGCTATCATTGGCAATTGATTTGGTTTTAGTAGCGTTACCATCACATTTGTTTCATTAATCATTATTTTATTCAGCTCATATCCATTATTGAAGAATTTTTATCTTTGGAGTGTTTTCCACCCAAGGCCACCTAAAATATTTTATATTTTAAAATATTTTAAACAAAATATATTTGAATTTCAAATAACCAAATGGACATACAAAAATGGTTTCAAATTACCAAATTGACAGTCTTCCCAGATGTTATGTTGATGATGATACTACCTTTATCTTTTTTATTTGACAGTATGTTTACATTCAGCATATTATACAAACACTTATTTCTGTATGATCAAATAGTTCCATAAATCTCAGTAATTCCAATTTACTCCAAGTTATTCTAAATTATGCCTTGAAAGTATTAGTTATTGGGACTTTCTTCCCATAAGCATGGCTTGCCCAGGTTTGCTTTCATCTCATGTATTACAGTTGCTGTGACAGAAGTAAGACTTCCATTCTTAGAAATTATTTGTGAAGAATCAGAATGCAAATTTCCATTGGTCAGGGAAAAACTGAACCCTATATGCATAGCAGAAAGACATCTAGAACACTTCCATATAAAAAGATCCAGCTAATATATCAAGGAATACACAATGACCCCAGAGTTTTGCAAGCAAGAAGAAATGATGGCATGATTTCCATAGTTAATTTAGAATTACCATTTTGCTCCAGAGATGAATGGAGTTAGTGATTAATTTGTCACATTCAATTGCAAATTAAGATTTGAATTTTTAAAAGCTGTTTGTAATCAGAGCTTGTCTCTGTTTAGAGCTAATCACACATAATACACACAACTATCATCAATTATAATTATAATATATCTTGATTATGGGATACATTGAAAAGGAAGTTCCAAACAATACATTATGTATCTGCTATCTAGTGAAGATTATGTCTGATTAAATGTTCCAGTAAAGCATGATATCTATTGGCACATTTTAATATATGCTTTAATCTATCAGCCAGCAGAATATAAGATAGGATTACAAGTACCATACACACATGGAAGTCTATGACAAATCCCTCAGTTGTTTGCAACATAAACCCCTTGTGGACTCTTCTCAGGCACCTTCCAAGGCATAAAGAATAAGCCCAAATATCTATATGACTGAGTAAAATCTGTAAAATACTATTAAAATATATGTGTATACAGAAAAAAATGTGATCTTTATCTTATAATCACTATATTACCCTATACAGCCACAAATTTATTTTCTTTTATACTGCTGAAGAAATTACCAATTAGTTACGGTAATGACAAAATTCAGAAAGATAGTGAGAAGGCAATAAGAAATAATTACATCATTTTCTATTCCCATGTTTTAGTGGCTTCCTATAGGTATAGAAAACAAGTCTATGTTCATTGTGGAAAAATAAATATATATACTCTATTGCTTTTTGACAAAGAAATCCAGCAACTTAAAGAAAATAAAATCTATGCCAGGGAAGACATTTAACTGTTATATTTATAGATAACATTATATAATGATATAGTCACACATATCTTGAGTATCCAATTCTTGATGATTTCATTGCAAAGCATTGACTAAATTGATGGGAAGGTCATTTATGTGTAAATTATCACTTGAAGTTAGTCATTAAGTGCTGAATAACTGCCTGAACCAGCTATTATGGTGTGAATTGCTGACTGTACTGTATGTGAGAGTTGCTACTTTACTTATTTCAAGGTAAAGTTATGTTTCTTTCCCTTTTCTTAATTTTAGAACAGCTCCAGATTTAGCTCTGTGTCTGAAGTTCCAACAGCATCCATTGCAAAAAGTGTCTTTTAGTTCCAGGTAGCTCTAGAGGAGACTGCCTTAGTCATACATGCTTTATCAGTGTGGTCTTTGGTATTCTCCAAGCTTGGTTGTTTTCGTGCTGATATTTCATTACCAAACTAGGTAACATCATCAGTGATGTTTGGTAATGAAATGTTTGGTAGAAACATCTGCAAGAAAACAACCAAGCTCAGAAACCATCAAGGATCCCATAGTTCAACCCTGAGCTGCAATTATTCTCTTCTCTAGGTGTTTTAACAGTTTCATGATTGGATCTGCTACACTGTGTGCTCTAATTAAATTGCCTTCAAATGATACACCGAAAATGCAATCTGATTCAGAATGCGCCAATTTACTTAGTAACAGTCAGAAAGGGTAGCACTATTACCAACTAACTAACTAATTTTATTAAAAGATATAACCTTTTATGAGCTGCAGTTCACTTCATCATCTGAGTGCCTAGACTATTTTAGTATTTAATTTAGTGGGACAGAAAAGGAGGAAAAGGTCAGTTATGCAAATTCAACTTGCATATTACTAATACTTTGTCAATTAACAATTGTAATGTGTTTTAAACCCAAAGTGTTGGTGGATAAGCCAATCTTCTGAAATTGCCTGAAACTATACAATGTACATGAGTTCAACAATTTCTCACTCAGTGGTGGAAATAGGGTCTATTAATTTGGATTGATATTAAATAACCTGGGAGGTTGAAAGTGTTTTATAGTACTTTCTCTTTGTTTTGAGTCTGGACTTCAAACTTGTGTCTATTAATTCTGGTGTGCAAAGTGTGGCCCATTTGTCTTATAGCAGGGGTGTCAAACTCGCAGCATCACAACGGCTTCATGTGACGCATTGGGCTAAACTGGGTGAGGGGTGGGCCAGCACATGGCACATCTGCCCTGCGGTCCATGAGTTTGACACCCCCGTCTTAGAGGGACATTTTGGCAAATATTGCATTGGAGAAAGAATAAATGAAGGCATCTGTAAACTTGTGTGATTAGTTTTTGGGGCCATGATGGTATTGTTGGGGGGAAATAGACATCTATATCTAGCATCATTGTTTCTTGCTGCTTGTGAGAATCTACTTCCTGTTACGTGATTATGCTGATTCTGTAAACCGCTTAGAGAGTAAGTAAAGCACTATAAAGCTGTATATAAGTCTAAGTGATATTGCTATTACATATTTGCAAGAGTGGGTCTGCCACTCAGGGTCCAAGAAAGTATACTGCTTAGTGGGTGCATGTGAGTGTGTGGGTGTGGGTGTGTCTGTCTATGTCTATATGAACTCCTGGTGACTGCCTAAAGTTTTCTTTTGGAAATGTTTTTCTATTGCCTGCTTCCTAGATTGAGAGAGAGTAACTTGCTGGTTTCATGCTTAAGGCAGGGCTAAAACTTAAGTCTCCCAGTTCCCAGCCTGATGCCTCAATCAGTAGAACAAGCTGATTCTCACAGTGGGGTATAAATCATTAATAATGTGTTTGACTGACTTAAACTGTGAGTTGTAGGTGACAATCAGTGGTTTTCTGTTATGCTATTTCTGTATTCTGTCTTTTAACATATCCTCTCTGGGAATGGAACTGGCTCTATTGATTTGTCTATTGGTCTCATAGGGTGAGTAGTTCAGTTTCCTGATGCTTACTTTAATTCATCAGTTAAGTATCTCTCTCAAGTGGGTACAAAAAAGTGTGGATAGAGCATTGAGTTTTTGTATAGATATGTGATATGTTCGAGATGGAAGCTAAAAGTATGTGGCTACATAGGGCAAACTGTATTTTTTCTGTCTAACATAATGTTTATATGTTCACTGTTAAGTTTTACTGAGACATCAAAGACGCTGATTTGTTCTGTCAAACTGAGGTTGACAGAAGAGAAGAAGTTGTGAGGAATGATGAAATTTGATAAGAGATTCGTTTCCATGAGCCCAGATGATTAAAATGGATTAGTGCAAAGATACCCAGCCTTATGGCAGGATGTGATATTTTAGCATCAATGATGATATTCTCTTTGGTTTCAAGTCCATGATTGGGCAGAATGTTTGTCTGTAACATCTCAACATCTATGGTGGCTAAAAATATGTTGTTTGCAAAATGTGGTAGAAAATGTGTTACCAGACCCTACAAGAAGCAAAACATGGCTGTGCTCCTAAAATCCCTACTTAGCAGCAAGAAGTACAAGACAGCTGCATAGAAAGATGTGTTTCAGACCAAATTATGTTTCACAACAAATCTATAGTTTCAGGTAGAAACACAACTCGCTACACAGACTTGCCTATTTTTTAAGACCATCATCTTGAGTTTTTTCAAAAAATATTTGGCTTTATTTACTACTATCTTCAGGAAATTAGTGGTTTTATTTTGAAATGCATAAGGATTTTCTTTAAAAATATATAATACTTACTAAAGTTTAACTTCCCATGTATGATTGACTGGTGATATTTTGTCTTTAATTGTTCTTTTGTGATATGACAGCAAATGCTATTTGTAACTCTGTAAATATGGGAAGGAAGCTTTTTTTAAATTTATGCAAATTGATAAAAAAACTGTGCAATCCTCTTCTTTAAATATTTGTAGGTTAGTGTTGGTGTATTTCAAGTTACATGTAAGTAGAGGAGAACACGGAGCAAATGTGGTAGCCATGCATTAGAGAAGAAATAGACAATGCTAAAATAGTCATTGTAGCTTATAATGGTGTTACAGCATCTAGCTATTCTTCAAAACCACATCACTAAGAAATCAGATACCCAAATATCTATTCATTTTGCTTAAAGCATCACACACCGTATTCAGGTCACTTCGGAGATCCTGGACAACATTTTCAATGCTTCTGGTGTCTTTCAGAATTTCAATGCTTTGGGTGTAGGGGTTGAAATAAACAGAAAAGGGACGATTGATTGATTTTGCAAAGTCCCTGAAATAAAAATAATAAAAGAATTACATTAACTCTTATTTCTGCACTTACAGATAAGAGCAAATTCAATCTGGAGTTTGTTTTTAAGGGTCATGGAAACAACTTGCCTCATCTTTTCTTTGGCTTCTTCAAAACTTTCTGAGACAAAGTAAGCTTCCTGGAAAGTTGTGATAAGGCATTCTTGCAAGCAGGTTGTCTTTGGATCAAATGTTTTCACATTGGCTTTATCAGACAGAGCATGCTGCAAAATATACCACATCAAATGTTACATGACAGAAACCTCAAGTGTTTCTATGCACTCAAGCTTTACAGCAAAGAATGCTCTCCACTTCACATGATTCACCTATAATTGATTTTTTTAGAATGAATGTGATGTGCATCTTCAACTTATCAATCTATTATCTATTAAGATTCCCTTCCCCTCAAGTAATTACATCATCAAGAATTCTGCTTTATATATGAAAAATAACTTAAATAAACCTAAAACAAAGTACATTTTATTAATAAATACTTCAAGTATTTCCACACTATGGCTAATATTACAAATTCTTCAAAAGGCAGATGCAATATATGGCTATTTGCCCATATTACACATTCATAAAAATTATATTTCACCTCCAGTATATCACATAACACCAGTTTGTTTCAGACTTGAAAAGATCTAAATAAATAATGAACATTTTCATTGCTCTTTTTTAATGTAAGTTAGATTGACAGTTCATCAAGAGTGTTCACTGTATACCCATTTGTTTAAAACCAAACTGAGTGAGATTTAGAGTCATGGAATTTTATGAATATACAATTTCTTTAGAATAATGTAAATAACTAGGAATGAACAGGAGGCTTTCTGTGGAATATTGTACTATGCTCTAGTCAGTCCAGTTTCCAACTTATGGTACAGGAATTGTTCTATCTCAGGTCATAAAGAAAGTACTAATCAAATATTTCTTTTTAAGAAAGAAATATATAAAAAAATTAAATATAAAAGTTGCATGTTATAGTAAACTGCACAGATATACGTATATGTTATTATCTCCATATGCACATATCTGGTACTTGTATATATGAGGACATGGATGTTCATGAGAATAAAAATTGGGACATTTTCCTTTCTGTGTTCCATAATTCTTTGGTTCCAACTTTATTTTCTTAAAAAACAACTATTCACTAACCATTCTAGAACTTGATTTATAAAAGTGAAATATATAATAATCCGTCTACCTATTTTCTTTTTTTTTTAAAGTCCTTTTTAGTGTTTTTGCCCCAGGAAGTAGACAAGGCAAACCATTTCTGTAAAAATTTTCCCCAAAAATTGCAGGGACTTGTCCAGGCAGTCTCCAAGAATTGAACATGATTGAACTATACCTGTTATTTGTGCTTTGTTATTCCCAGTGCCTCTTTAATCTTCCTTGTTTCTAGGTGATTTTTTTGATCAGATATTCTTTGGCTCTTCAGCTTCTTTTCTTTCATCTGCTTTAGTTTGCTTACATTTGGTCTTAGCATGCTAATCTTATTTTCCAGCCTGATCTTCCATTTTTTGGTGCACTGTTTGGCTTTTATTTTTCATCCAAGGTATTCAATTATAATTGCAGCCATTCTATACACTAGTTGGTTTGTTTCTTGCAATGAGTTGGTGCTTATACTTGATATAGCCGTATTTGCATCTTTTAACACTTGTGCTAGCTGTTTCTTTGGCGCAAGCTTCAATGCAGGCAGCTTTATTCTGTTGTTTTTTGTGCTGCTCTAGATGTTCATTTATTTTTTTACTTCGATTCTTTTTAGATAAAGAATTGAAAGTAGGGCAGAGGAGGGAGTACCTGGTTTAAGAATGAAAATGATTGTTGATCTGCTAATCTCTTTTCTGTTATTTCTGATTCTAGATATTGTTCTTTCCAGAACTGATGCATTGATTTCAAATAATCTCTTATTGTTGGATTTGATTTGTAATAACATTGTTATTTGTTTTCAAACTTTGTATATATTTGTAAACATCCTTTCTTCCAGTAGTCTTGCACCTGCTGGATCTGGTTACTAGCCAACAATACTTTTTCTTCCAACCATCTTAGATGTCCAGGAACTACAACACCAAGTATAGTCCTTGGTGATCCAGATGATAACTGATCATGTATGGATTTCTGTAAATTACATCTCACCATACTGTTTATGGGAAAGATACTCATTTTCTGTGTCCTGTGATAAGACCTGTCATGTATAGCTGAACCTCTGGCACAGCTATACAACCCCACAACCACATCAAGGTAGGGCTTCACTGGGGGATGATTATTATTATATTTAAATAAATGATTTAATATCTACATAGCTGCACTAGAAGGTTATCCTTTTGTCTGCAAAACACCACACCTGCTGAACAGAAGAAAAGACAGAAGTTCTGACTCAATGTCTGGAAGCTGTTATGTCCAGATGGGAAGAAGTAAGTTGCTCCAATAAACTCTATGTAGGTTGTCTTTCTCTGAAGAATTAGTCTTTAAGGATCCTCTGTTGGTTGGAGAATTATGGCTAGACAGACAGAAGGAATCCACGTATTGAGATAGTTGCATTTCTTCTTGAAGCAGATGCTTTGAGGAAGGCTTCTTGTCATCACCTATTAAAAGTTAATTACAGCAATACCCCTTACCTGGAGCAACCTTTGAAGATTCTTCTAAATCTGCAGATGGTGCAGAACACAGCAGCCCATTATTGTCAAATGAAAGCCACCAGTGCCATATGCCAATGGTTTGACTCTATACTGGCTTCCAGGAGGCTTCTGAAGGCAATTTGAAGTATGGATTTTAACCTCTAAAATCCTTTATGGCTTAATAGCAGAATTCTTCTGGACTGTATGTTTCAAGTAGAACCAACACATCCAGGATTTTTTTTTAAGAACAAAAGAGTACATTGAGAGTTACCTCCTAGTGAGATGGTTCAGAGTACATTGTAAGTATTTCATGTTATTCCATTATTTAATGGATTCCTTTTCATTAAGAGATGGCACCCTCACAGCTTTTCAAACCGCAGTCAAGGTAGGGCTTTTCTATAAACCTTTTGATTATTGATGAATAAAGAAGTCATTATTGATGCGAAATTTTGTTTTTAGTTTGTTTTGATGGATTATATATTGTTGTAAACCATCAGAAGTCTGCATGAAGCCAGTAGTTAGGAAATATAAAAAAATCAAGTTTTTTCTCTTTCCTTTCAACAATCTTTGATCTGTCTTTTGACTGTGCAAAAGCCCTCTGAGTAAATAGGACAAAACATCTATTTTTTTTCTTCTTCCAGTATAACATTACTATTAGACAGTATTTTTTTTGTAGATTGCCCAAGGTTCAATTCCTGGCCACTTCATACTGAGCAAGGAAAGAGTTCAGTTAGATATTCTAGAAAGCTGATATCGGTGTAAATACTGAGTTGAGTGGATCAAGATTAAAGATAAAATTATGCAAAAGTGAAATTGCCATTTCTAGTGGCATACATTTTATAAATTGAAACTGAAATTTGGAGGGGTACATATTGTGCACCAGTGATAGGTGTACCATGATGCTACAAATTACAGAACTCCCACTTGAATAGAACAGGAAAATATCTAAATTAATGATTAACTAATAATTTAAAAACATATTTAAAAGAATGTTAGAGACATGAGGCAAAAAGTGTTTTATTAAGAGGCATTCCTGCCCAACAATATGAAGCAATATGCAATAAATTTAGCACTGTCTGCAACTCTTTTCCAAAGCTGCATCTCTTTCTAGAATCACATGGCAGCCTTGCAGAACTCAGGCACATGATCCTGAGAAAAGACATGACTTTAAAACAGTTGCAGATGTGTGCTGTGTGCATGCTCCTACATGTTTCAAGGATTTTTCAGGAATTGAATCTGAAGTCCTTCCCACCCTTGAAAACAAAGTTCTTTCTAGACAAATTTGTCTAAACATGAAGCTTGAGTAATACTCAGAATTCAAATGCATGCCAATAAAAACTATGGACTTCTAAGTATTGCATCATTGCAACACAAGAATAGTCTTGAAAATTAAATGGATTATGGGATGTGAACTGATGACTTCTTTTTCATTGTCCCATGCAGGCATCTACAATTAATCCATCATTAAGATACCTCAGTAAAAAATGATAAAATAGATTCAATTAATTAGTCCAAGTGCTTAAACAGGGGCAATAATTCCAGACAACACTCGGCCACTCTAAAGCGTGTGTCACATATCTCTAGCCAAACTTAATGTTGTTTTCTATCCTGGCATTTTACAAGAACAAAATGCTTGTAAAATATGGAACTTAGCAACAAAAAGTCTTGGTTATAATTTTTTTTAAGACAACAAAAGAAAAAGAGATAATCAAATGCCAAAAATATTTATATAACTAAACATTTGTTTGAAATCAAATTTAGATAAGGCAGCATATCCCAAAGCTATAAGCATCAGTCACTCACAGCAGGTGCCTGTTTGTTAGTTTCCAAGCAAATTACATCTCCAGAAAAACAATTTATTCTCATTTATAGGACAAGTTTTCAGATATCTGTGGTATTGCCTGAGCATGTATCCTAAAACAGAAATTCCAAAATGGAGATACATTCTTAAATGACAGAAAAACTGATAGGCAATTTCAAAGCAAAATTCTGCCAGAAACTCCTTTGAGAATTGCTTTTCCAACATTAAACCTAACTGGATCCAGGATCCGTATAATGAGCTTGATCTTCCTGTTATTCCTCATACAACAGGAGTTGCCTCTTCAAAAATCAATGCAGTAATTAAAAAATCAAAGAAAAGCTATGCTATGTTTTATCTACCAATGGAAAGATCTCAGATAAAATACGAATGATTCCGAATTATACTTAAGAATTTACAGTTGCTCTAGGAGTTCAAGAAAATCATGCAAAATCAAGGGTAGGCTATGTCAACTAAGCTCAGAAACCACCAACTGAGTCCCCAAACATTCAACCCTGAGCTACAAATGTCTTCTTTGGTTGATAAGTTCAATCAGTTCAAGACACTTTACACATAAAAGAAACCCACTTCTGTATGCCACTCTTTGAGTTATGGGTTGTGATCTTGATATCTAATGAAATATGTTTTAGGGACTGCTTTTAAAAAATGTACTCCCACATCAGTTTTTTAAGAACCCCTTTTCCTTGGCTGTGGGATCCTACTTATTAAACTTACTCTTCAACTAAGAGAGTTTATAATCCAGCCTCTTTTATCTTTAAGGCACTTTAAATATCTCTACATGATCCAGACTCTTTCATGGTAAGTCCTATACATAGAAAATAACTTTTGATTTATAAAGCTCATCAGACAATTTAAAAGCCTTTGTATAAAGAACAGCCTATAGAAAGATCAGTAACCTTAAGTAATAGCTCAATTAGCAGCATAAGCAAGGATAATGAAAAAGACCACCCAACTCAACATTCTATTATTAAAGATGAAAAAATAAAAAATAGCATCAGCTCAAATTACAAAAATATAAAATCCTAGCTAACATGGGGAAAATAAATTTACCAAATATCTGATGGTTTATATTTCTAGGTTCACGTTTACCTCTTTTAAATTAGATTTCTAGAAATGTGTAACTCTGAAAATGCCCTTTATTTCTTACCAATAAACTATGTTTTTCAGTGAATGGGATATAAGGAATGCCTCCAACTCATAGTTTTAAGACTACACAAACCAAAATGAGTCCAAACAATTTAGTTTTGAAGGTAAAAACCAACATGTCCTTAACTGGTATGCATCCTTAATTGAATATCCAACCAGCAAATGTCTCGCTTTCCTAAACACTTTATGATTTAAGAGAAATATTTCAAATGGCAATGTAGATCAAAAATTCTTAGGGAATGTCTTCATTTTTAAATTTAGAAGAGGGAAAACTGCTGTTTTAATTTAAAAACAAAAAGCTTAACAGGATTGAAAATGAAGAAAGTTTTAAATAGAGAAAGGAAAACAGTGATTGCTTTTTAAAATATTATTTTTCTGATTAAAGTGTCTTTGAAAATAGCAAAATTAATTAGACCTGTTGACCAGATCTTTGTGGGAATGCTGGTTGTTTCTTATTAAATCAAGAACATAAGGATAATATGAGCTAAGCAGTGAGACTGTAACTATGGAGAGCTAATTGGAACTAAAGCGTTAAAGATAGTAAGAAGCAAAATATGGGGAAAACAGAAGCCAGCCTTTTACTTTCACTGTAATAAGTGGCATATTTTCACTTCCTCACAACAGCAATCAAGAAAATCTGTTAAACTGGCAGACAGAGGCAGGAGTTCACTAGAACAGCTTACGGATAAGGGCATTTCACCAGATTTATTGCAGAAAAAGTTTGAAGAATTTGGCCAAAAGATGACTTCAACAGTTAAAAAGGAGGATTTGCAGGAATAAGAAAAGATGTCAAGAAGAAGTTTGGAAGAATCTATGGTGCAATTGGGTGCAGACTTAAAACAAATTAATGATAAAGTAGAAGTTTCAATCCTTCAGGCTTTTGAGATTTAATGTTAACAAGAAACTAATGGCCAATATTTTTACTGAGTAATAAGTATAATATAGTAATTATAATATAATTATTATACTTTACCATGATATGGGCTGAAAGGTTGAAGATAATATTACAGAATTTTATTCATGGAGATCAATGCAAGTTAAAAAAAGAATATGTAATTTAGGGTTTTAAACATTAATTTAGATCAGGGGTATCAAACTGAAGGCCTGTGGGCCAGATCCTGAGTCCCCTCAGGGAAAAGGGCGGCATATAAATCCCAATAAACCTCTAAACAAGGTGCTTAAATCTTGCCCGCAGGGTCAGCCTGGAAATATCAAAGGACCCACCCATGGTACCTCTGCTGGCTGAAATGGGCTGCATGTGGCCTGCGTGCACCCCCCCCCCATGGCCCATTTTAGGCCTGGAAACTGCTGCAGGAGGCTGGGGAGGCCACGTGGGGGCCTTGCAAGGGCTCTGTGTGTCCCATTTTCAGCCAGGAGAATGCTGCAGGAGGCCATGGAGGCCAAAAATGAGGCATGAGGGGGCAATGCACACACCCATGCCCCATTTTGGCCAGCCAAGTGCTGCAGGAGATTGTCCAGGTCGAAAAAAGTATTCAGGGGCCACGTGCGGTCCCTCCCCACACCTTATTTTGGCCAGCAGGGTGCTACAGGAAACATCCATCCCATCTCTCCCCTGCTTCCCCCCTCTGGCCCATGGAGGAGAACTACAGGGCTGATCTGGCCCTTGAAGAAATTTGACACCCTTGGTCTAGCTTATGCAAATAATATATTATAATATAACATTTAGAGCAGGGGTGAGCAATTAATTTTCCCAATGGCACATATGAATAGCTGGGATTGTTGTGGAGGACCATCACTATGACCACACACTGTCACCATGGCCCCACCCCACTGCAGTTCCACCCCTGCTGAAACCCTGTCCAACACCCCTACCACCACCACCGATGCCCCCTGCTGATGCCCTGCTCCTACCATCTCCCCCAATGATGTCACCCTGCCTCCTATACCACTCAGCCATTGATTCCCTGCCCCCCCCCCCGGGACACTGCTGATGCCAGACAGGAACATCCAAAAGACCAGATGTGGCCCACAAACTGTAAAATGTCCAAGTCTACTTTAGAGAGAGAGGTTAAAATATAATTGCACTTATAATCTTGAAAAATATCAGAAACCACTGCTTTGTACCTTTTTTCTTTCTTTTCTATTTTAACTTTTTTTCGTTGCTTCCTTTTTGCTTTCTTTTTCTTTTTCTGAATTAATTTGAATAAGTTATCTTATTTTTTTTTAAAAAAAGGTTTCAATAAGTTATATTAAAAAAACAATACTTTGTACGTACTATAAAAATACACTGCTGATAATTGGCACAATAGAGATATCACACATTTCAAGAATCCTGCATCATTAATGAGCAATATTTTGTACTAGTTTAAATTTGCTTAACTAGCTTTGGAATTACTCCAGATAGAGTTCACTACTGCCTAAATCTAACCTGGATATCACTAAAGCATAGGTACTTTTTAAACACCAACAATATTATCATATACTCACTTTGTCATTTTTAGTGGATTTGGTATTTGTAACTGTTTCTGTCTAACTGTATTTATTACTTTAATTTGGGTTGCAAGATGCCTTGGGGTATATATTATGAAAGACAGACTATAAATGTCTTCAATAAATAAATAAATCTTGGCTCTACAGCAAGTTTGAATTTTCTTGAGGGCAGAAGCACCTTTTTTTTTTACTTCATTGTCAAAATGATTGCTAGACTGAAACTAATGTGCCACCTGGAATACCAGTGTCAAGAAGTTTAAAGATTTAATTTGTGTGGGTTATGCTTAAATAGATATAATATTTCCAATATAACTAGAACTGCATATGTTGGCCTGTCAACTGATGGGCATAATCATCCTACAAAATTGTCAATAATAACTGCTACTATGAGGAGCCTGACACCTCTACCATTGGAGTTTAGGATTGCTGCCAAGATATCATATTTAGGACTCTGGGCTTCTTGTTTAACTGCTTGAACATTATTACATCTTAAATTCCAATGTTTCTACTGCAAAAGACTGAAACAAAATTATATTTGTTGTACTAGTACAGGTCATAGAATATGGCAAAAATTTAAATGAAGCTGGAAAATCAATTTACTAAATATAGGTACTGGGAGGGGATGTAAAGGAACCAAGTTCTAATTTGAATTTTGGATTTCATGAGACATTCAGTTTGAATTTGCAATTCAGTGTAAAGAATTTATCCAAAGAATCAAGTCAAATCAAAGATTTGATCTGATAAGAGTATGTATGTATGCATATCACAAATTTCATCAGATAATTGAATTATTTCAGAAGCACCTGATCTAATTCAAATGGGTAATTTGCTTTAATCACATTCAAATGCAAGAATCAGACTCAAATATGACACATGTCTTAATACATGTGTCAAGGTATATATTTTGGACTGGCATTCAAAAAAAGTCATTTCCATCCCAGATTAGCATTATGATCTAATATTCCCATTGTTCTTCAACTAGATTTAATTGAAACTGTATAGCTTTTCTAATACATTTGTTAGAAACAGTGATATATTGCCCTTCAGCCAAATGACTCCTAGGATGATTTGAAAGTAAAGTTAAAGCAACGATGAGTTCAGTGTAAAATCACACGCATGAGAAATATATAGAAATCATAGAGCTGGCTTCTGGTGATAAATAATAGAGTTTTGTTTACATGAGTACCTTGAGCTCTCCAATAGAAGACAAAAGGCCTGCTCCATAAGCCCTCAGTTGTCCATCTTGCTTACAAAGGCCAAATTCAATAGTGAAGAAATAACACTGAAAAATGAAATACACAGACACACAAATGCATATATTAGAATAAATCTAGATATACTCAAAAATCAAACAGGTCACCAGGCAAGCCCCTCTTCATACTCTTTTTTTGTTTTTAAATAAATGATGTGAAAGAAAACTACCAAATAGTAACACCATGAATACCAGGGGTCATCATAAATCTATTTGGTGTAAATCATGATAGGAATTGGGACTGTGCAGTGCTTCAGAATCAATGCCAAAAGGCTGTTGCAGGGTATACACAGTGTAAAAGTGATACTTGTCTTCCATTTTTAAAGCACTTGCATTTTTATTTTGAATTATGAGGTTATCCACTGCAGCCAATATCTAATTCTTGGAAAAGTCACAGTTAGTCTAAAGTGTTGCAAGCAACTAGTGTGTTTTCACACCTGTATTATCCAAAGTACCATATTTTTCCAACTATAAGATGCTCCAGAATATAAGATGCACCTAGCTTTTGGGGAGCTTTTGGGAAAAACAAGGGGAAAAAATCTGCATCCATCTGGAATTCATCTGGCCTGTTGCCACAGCCTGTTTGCCACTGCCGCAGCCCATTCGCCGCCACCTGTTCGGCACGGCCAATTCTCCGCTGCCCATTTTCCGCAGAGTATAAGCTGCACATACATTTCCACCCACTTCTTTTGGAACTGCATCTTATACTCTGAAAAATACAGTAGCTTTGGAGAATTATATTGCACAGCCCTAATAAAAATCACCATTGTTAATGAACAAATTTATAGTGAAATAAATAAGAACATATCTGTAAATCTGCTACCCAGATTTGCAGAATGCAAATGCTGGATGTGTTTTAATAGCACATCAAAAATATTGTCTTA